CCCCCCCTGTCCGCAGGGGTGGGGTTCAGCATCGCGGGGGGCGTGGGCAGAGTGGGGGTCCCCACGCTGACCCTCCCTTTCCGCAGGGTTGGGGTTCAGCATCACGGGGGGCGTGGGCAGAGTGGGGGTCCCCACGCTGATCCCCCCTTTCCGCAGGGTTGGGGTTCAGCATCGCGGGGGGCGTGGGCAACCAGCACATCCCTGGGGACAACAGCATCTACGTCACCAAGGTCATCGAGGGCGGCGCCGCGCACAAGGACGGGCGGCTGCAGATCGGGGACAAGATCCTGGCCGTGAGCGGGGACTGGGGGGACACCTTGGGGACACCTTGGGGACACCTTGGGGACACCATGGAGATGGGGGCATGTGGGGACAGGGACATCGTGGGGATGGGGACAGGGATGGGCGGCTGCAGATTGGGGACAAGATCCTGGCTTTGAGCGGGGACTGGGGGGACACCTTGGGGACACGATGGGGATGGGGACATGTGGAGATGGGGACACCATGGGGACATCATGGGTAAGGGACATCATGGGAATGGGGACGGGCAGCTGCAGACTGGGGACAAGATCCTGGCTGTGAGCGGGGACACCATGGGGATGGGGACACCTTGGGGACGGGGACACCACAGGGGCATCATCATGGGGACATCATGGGGACAGGGACAGGCTTGGGGACACCATGGGGATGGGGACATCATGGGGACAGGGATGGGGACACCATGGGGACATTGTGGAGATGATGATAGGGACGGGCAGCTGCGGATCGGGGACAAGATCCTGGCTGTGAGCGGGGACACGGGGATGGGGACATCATGGGGATGGGGACAGGAGTGGGGACACCATGGAGATGGGGACATCAGGGGATGGGGACACCAGGGGGCTGGGGACACGACAGGGACGAGGATACGATGGGGACATGTTGGGGACAAGGATGGGGACACGACGGTGCCAAGATGCCGGCCGTGAGGGTGGGGATGAGACCGATGGCGGCGCTGATGCCCATCACCGTCCCCGTGACGTCCCCGTGTCCACGTCCCCGTGTCCCCGTGATGTCCCCATGATGTCCCCATGACGTCCCCGTGTCCCTGACCCCCGTGTCCCCATGACACCCCATGATGTCCCCGTGATGTCCCCGTGTGTCCCCATGATGTCCCCATGACGTCCCCGTGATGTCCCCGTGTCCCTGTGATGTCCCCATCATGTCCCCATGATGTCCCCGTGTCCCTGTCCCCTCACATCCCCATGACGTCCCCATGACGTCCCGATGATGTCCCCGCGACGTCCCCATGATGTTCCCGTGATATCCCCGTGACATCCCCATGTCCCCATGATGTCCCTGTGACGTCCCTGTGATGTCCCCATGATATCCCTGTGATGTCCCTGTTGCCATCCCCATGACGTCCCCGTGTCCACGTCCCCGTGTCCCCGTGATGTCCCCGTGATGTCCCCATGATGTCCCCGTGATGTCCCTGTGTCCCTGTGATGTCCCCGTGATGTCCCTGTGTCCCCGTGATACCCCTGTGTCCCCGTGATGTCCCCATGACGTCCCCATGACGTCCGCGTGTCCCCGTGATGTCTCCATGACGTGCCCCGTGATGTCCCCATGCCGTCCCCATGACGTCCGCGTGTCCCTGTGATGTCCCCGTGACGTCCCCGTGTCCCCGTGGTGTCCCCATGACGTCCCCATGACGTCCGCGTGTCCCTGTGATGTCCCCATGATGTCCCCGTGTCCCCGTGATGTCCCCATGACATCCCCATGACGTCCGCGTGTCCCTGTGATGTCCCCGTGACGTCCCCGTGTCCCCGTGGTGTCCCCATGACGTCCCCATGACGTCCGCGTGTCCCCGTGATGTCTCCATGACGTCCCCGTGATGTCCCCGTGTCCCCGTGATGTCCCCATGACATCCCCATGACGTCCGCGTGTCCCTGTGATGTCCCCGTGACGTCCCCGTGTCCCCGTGGTGTCCCCATGACGTCCCCATGACGTCCGCGTGTCCCCGTGATGTCTCCATGACGTCCCCGTGATGTCCCCGTGTCCCCGTGATGTCCCCATGACATCCCCATGACGTCCGCGTGTCCCTGTGATGTCCCCGTGACGTCCCCGTGTCCCCGTGGTGTCCCCATGACGTCCCCATGACGTCCGCGTGTCCCTGTGATGTCCCCATGATGTCCCCGTGTCCCCGTGATGTCCCCATGACATCCCCATGACGTCCGCGTGTCCCTGTGATGTCCCCGTGACGTCCCCGTGTCCCCGTGGTGTCCCCATGACGTCCCCATGACGTCCGCGTGTCCCTGTGATGTCCCCATGATGTCCCCGTGTCCCCGTGATGTCCCCATGACATCCCCATGACGTCCGCGTGTCCCTGTGATGTCCCCGTGACGTCCCCGTGTCCCCGTGGTGTCCCCATGACGTCCCCATGACGTCCGCGTGTCCCTGTGATGTCCCCATGATGTCCCCGTGTCCCCGTGATGTCCCCATGACATCCCCATGACGTCCGCGTGTCCCTGTGATGTCCCCGTGACGTCCCCGTGTCCCCGTGGTGTCCCCATGACGTCCCCATGACGTCCGCGTGTCCCTGTGATGTCCCCATGATGTCCCCGTGTCCCCGTGATGTCCCCATGACATCCCCATGACGTCCGCGTGTCCCTGTGATGTCCCCGTGACGTCCCCGTGTCCCCGTGGTGTCCCCATGACGTCCCCATGACGTCCGCGTGTCCCTGTGATGTCCCCATGATGTCCCCGTGTCCCCGTGATGTCCCCATGACATCCCCATGACGTCCGCGTGTCCCTGTGATGTCCCCGTGACTGCCCCCGGGGGTCCTGGGGGGTCCCTGTGTCCCCATGTCACTGCCCCCGGGGGTCCCCGTGTCCCCGTGTCACTGCCCCTGGGGTCCTGGGGGGTCCCCGTGTCCCCACGCTGTCCCCAGGACATGACCTGGGGGGTCCCGGTGTCCCCGTGTCACCAGGTCACTGCCTCCAGGGTCCTGGGGGGGTCCCAGTGTCCCCATGTTACCGTGTTGTCCCCAGGCACAGCTGGGGGGGGGCCCAGTGTGTCCCCAGGACATGACCTGCGGGGTCCCAGTGTCCCTGTGTCACCGGAATGGCCCTGTGGCTTGGGGGGGGGGGCCCGGCGTCCCCACATCCCCACACTGTCCCCAGCGCATGACCGGGGCTGTCCCAGTGTCCCAGTGTCACCACCATGGCCCCAGGGACTACCGGGGGGGTCCTGGTGTCCCCACGTCACCGCCATGGTCCTGGGGGGCTCCCAGTGTCCCCATGTCACCGTGCTGTCCCCAGGCACGGCTGGAGGGGGTCCCAGTGTCCCCACACTGTCCCCAGGGCATGACCTGGGGGGTCCCGGTATCCCCGCGTCACCGCCGTGGCCCTGGGGTCCTGGAGGGGTCCTGGTGTCCCTGCGTCCCCCACGCTGTCCCTGTAGCATGGCTGGGGGGGGTCCTGGTGTCCCCAGCTTGTCCCAAGGGACCCCCCTGTCCCCATGGTGTCCCCAGCTTGTCCCAGGGGTCCCCCCTGTCCCCAGCCTGTCCCCAGCACCATGTCCTGGGATGTCCCAGTGTCCTCAGACTGTCCCCAGGTCCTCAAGGTCCCCACAGGGTGTCCCTGGGGTGTCCCCATGTCCCCAGGCTGTCCCCAAGGTCCCCAAGGCAAGTCCCTGTGGTGTCCCCAGGTCCTGTCCCTAGGGTGTCCCAGCATCCCCAAGCTGTCCCCACGTCCCTGTGGTGTCCCCAAAGCAGGTCTCGGGGGTGTCCACATGTCCCCAGGCTGTCCCCAAGGTCCCCAGGATGTCCCCAGGGTCCCCAAGACAGGTCGCTGCGGTGTCCCCATGTCGCTGGGGTGTCCCCAAGGGAGATCCCTGAGGTGTCCCCATGTCCCCAGGATGTACCCAAGGTCCCCAAGGCAGGTCCCTGGGGTGTCACGCCATCCCTGGGGTGTCCCCATGTCCCTGCACTGTCCCTGAGGGCACGTCCCTGAGGTGTCCCCTCGTCCCCAAGGTGTCCCCTCATCCCCGAGGTGTCCCCATGTCCCCGGGTGTCCCCATGTCCCTGGTGTCCCCCCCTTGTCCCTGGGGTGTCCCCACATCTCCAGGCTGTCCCCACGTCCCCGGGCTGTCCCCATGTCCCTGGTGTCTCCCCCTTTTCCCGGGGGTGTCCCCTCGTCCCCGAGGTGTCCCCCATGTCCCCGGGTGTCCCCTCATCCCCAGGCTGTCCCCATGTCCCCGGGTGTCCCCATGTCCCTGGTGTCCCCTCCTTGTCCCGGGGGTGTCCCCTCATCCCCGAGGTGTCCCCACATCCTCGGGTGTCCCCCCCTGACCTGGGCCCGGGTGTCCCCATGTCCCTGGTGTCCCCTCCTTGTCCCGGGGGTGTCCCCTCATCCCCGAGGTGTCCCCACATCCTCGGGTGTCCCCCCCTGACCTGGGCTGTCCCCACGTCCCAGGCTGTCCCCATGTCCCCGGGCTGTCCCCATGTCCCTCGTGTCCCCCCCTCGTCCCCGAGGTGTCCCCCATGTCCCCGGGTGTCCCCACGTCCCCGGGTGTCCCCATGTCCCTGGCATCCCCCATGTCCCGCGTGTCCCCCCGGTCCCTGTTGTCCCCCCCATCCCCGTGTCCCCCTCCCTGTTCCCGGGTGTCCCCGGTGTCCCCAGCGTGGCGG